TTAGTAATTAAATATAATTACTGTTTAATCGTAAGAATAATCATGAGAAACTGTGGTCAGGGACCTAAGAAAGATCACGAGAAACTCATGTAAATGTATACGATAGAACAATCTAAGTTTAATAACGAATATGTAAGTTATATAATGATAGAATAGAAAATATGTTCAGCTCGAAAGACGTGTTGGAGTCAGATTTGGGTCTGGAGCCCTGATTCCCAGAGCTCTCAGTAAAAGCACCTGCATGGAATCATATCCTGTGATTCTGTGTGTTCCTGAACTCTGACAGGGCAAGGAAGGGGAGCAGAGGGGATGGGGGTCACAGCCCCGAGCCCCTGCAGCTTTGGGGTGCCCGTTCACAGCCCTGCAGCTTTGGGGTGCCCGTTCACAGCCCTGCAGCTTTGGGATGTCCTGGGGGGAGGCAGCCCCAGCACCGGGGCTTGGCAGGGACGATCCTGCCCAAATTCACCCCTGGAAGTTCTGGGGGAAGGTTTGAGTGACTGGCACCTCCCGGGGCTTTTGGGGGGCTCCTTACACGGCTTGGGGTGGGTTTGGGGAGCTGGGAAGGGTGGGACAGGGGGGTGGCCCTGTGGGAACTTCGGAGTGAACTCATCCAAACCTCTCAAGGGGTGTGGAAGGACGTTGTGATCTGGATCCTCACCCACGTGCTCCATCCACTCCCCTCCAGCTTTTGCGCACTCCAGGATTTCTAAAATCTTCTATGTTTGAAATATATAAACTTACATATTTGATATATTTTATTTCAGAAATTTGAACTTTTCCTTCTCCTTGCTTCCACCTCTGCTTGCACCAGGAAGAGGCATGAGGAGGTGAGGAGGAATTTAGGGAGGTGTCACACATTTCAGGGGATCACAGAATCGTTAAGGTTGAAAAAGACAATTTTAATATCATCAAATTCACAGCACCACTGTGTTCACCTCAAAACCACGTCCTTAAGTGCCACATCCACACTTTTTGAACACTCCCAGAGATGGTGACTCCATCAATGATGCTCCTGCTGCCATTGCTCAACCAGAAAATCAGAAACCACTGTCCAGGCTTATTATAATACAGTTTTAAAATATTTACAATATTTCTATATTTAAAAATATATATATTATATTATAGAAAATATATATAACATGTGAAATTTATATTAATTATGTTATATTATGTTATGTTATGTTATGTTATGTTATGTTATGTTATGTTATGTTATGTTATGTTATGTTATATTATATTATATTATATTATATTATATTATATTATATTATATTATATTATATTTATTATAGTATATTTATTATACTGTATTGTATTGTATTGTATTATATTTACAGTTTTTATATATTTAAAAATATATTTATATATTGTAAAAATACTTAGTTTGCAATATTTAATATAGATAAAAATAATGTATATATAATATATAAACCTTATTCTACAATGGGGCTGCTGCAGCTGAACGTGGCTGTGGCTGCTCAGCTGCAGATCTTATTGTCCCCAAACTTCTCCCCTGCACTGCTGCACTCAGAGGTGCAGCTTCTCAGCTTCTCCTGCCATTCCCAAATGCTGCTGAGCTGTTTTTATCCCGGGAAAAACCTCTCCCACGCTTAGGGAAGGATGGGACAGGAAGAGAAGCACACACGGAGGCAGCAGTGCCTTCTTCACCCCCTCCCCATCACACAACTGCATGGTGGGACGGGAGGGAAGAGTGCCAGGGGCCCGGAGCAGCAGGAGCCCTGGAAACTCTGGCATCTGCAGGCACCAGGGGAATGCAGAGGGGCCAGGCATGAAAGCTGACACAGGAAAAAAATGCTCTTTTGGAGCTACAATTGCTGGCACAGCTGCTGGCCAGACCCCCTTCCAAAACCTGAAACGTGCCAGCAAGGGGATGGGAATCATTAACCGCTTCGTTTGTGGGATTTAACCATTCCCAGCTCCCCTGTGCCCTGAACAGGCTCAGATTGCTCAGATTTGCAGGGCCTGGGGCTCCCCCCAGCAGCAGGAAGGGGCTGAGGAGCTGTTGGATCAAGCCTTTTTCTGACCCAGAGATGGGGCAACTGAGGGGGGCTTTAAAAACTTTTAACCCATTTTCTGTCTTATAAGAAGGGTGAGACAATACAGATTTTATAATTCACGCCATCACAATCAGAAGCCAATTATTTCTTAATTACAATACATTATAAGAGTTTCTTGGCTTATCAGCTTTTAGCTACACCATACTGTAAATGCCTTAAAGCCAATCATCTAAAATTACCCCTCGTGGGTCCCACTACAATGCATCTTTCATAGTTCTATTTCTCTAAAGTATCTAGTCCTTTTTATAAAACTGTCCTTTGAAACTTGTTTCTAGCTCCATTTCTCTCTCAACAATGCCTGTCCTATTCCATGGCATTTCTCAGACAGCATTTCTTATCTCAAAGTTTGCACACAGATACACACTGTGTGAGCTTTCTGTCAGGTTCTGAGTTTTCTACAAATCCATTTCCCACAAGGAGCCACTGACAAAGCCCTCTCCCCTCCTCCAAAGCCTTGAGAGGCAGAAGCCACGGGCTGATGGCTTTTCTGCAGGGGTAAGTGCCTGGGAAAGAGGCCAAGCAGTGCCCAGGGGAAAACCAGAGTGGTTTGATGCTCCTTTCAAAGGGCAGAGGCTTGGAAAGCCCCTGGCCTCGGTGGGGGATGGCAATAAAAATCAGCCTGAGCCCTGCAAATGGAGCAGTTGGCTGAAAAGTGCAGGGTGGGGTGGGATGGGTGCTGGGGGAGGAGGGATCTCTGTGCAGAGCACTGGGACAAACCCTGCTGGAGGCTGGGCTGGGCAGTTTGGGGGTGCTGGGGGGTCTGAGCCCCATCTGTGCCCGCTCTGCAGCAGCACCCCCTCCTCAGAGGCAGCAGAGCAGCAGGAGGGAGGAATGTGAGAGCTTGCAAAGCATCTCACTGCAGGAGTTCCTGCTGCCAGGAGGAGGGATGAGTTTCAGGGAAGCCGGAGAAGCAGGAAATCAAGGGAGAGGGGCAGTAATTGAGGCCATATGTTGGAAGCAAAGAATGCATCTGGTAGCAGGGAGCAAGCCCACGCCGCGGGGACAGCGGGGGACATGCAGAGCCACATGAACCTCCTGGGCCAAGCAGAAGGTTGAATTCAGACCAACCACAACTGCTGAGAGGGGTCACCATTCCAGGTCTGTGCCTGGAGCGGCTGCAGGCTCAGGAGGTTTCCAAACTTACACTCAGTAATGTCCCAATTTTGTAGGTAATGTAGGAAAAATTTGAAGGAAATGGCTGCTTCAGCACAAAATGACAGGGTTTGTTATACACCCATGTTCCTGAGCATGCACAGAGCCAGGGAGGAAAGTGGAAATATGAAAATATGGGCAGTGCCAGGAGCGAGGCCAGGTCCTCTCTGCTCCCCAGAACTTTGCCTGCCAGGGGAGGATTTACACACCCAGGGGTACAGACACATTTGGGGTGATGGAAGAGCCACCTGGGGCTGCACAGGTCTGTCCCACTGAGCCAACCCCACAGGGGCCATTCCACTCCTTTGGGTATTCCCAGGCTCAGGCCACAGCACTGGGAAAGAATATTTATGGCCTGTCCCCCTCCTCCCTTTTAAACCACATTTGAAATAAATGTGAAACGTGTGTGGTTGGAATAGAGGATTCTGGCACAGCATCACAGCTTGGGAAGAGGGAAAAGAGTTCTGGTGCTGACACCCACTGAGCTTCCCAGGAAATTGAGGAGTAGATGGAGTGCAGGAGTGCAGCGCTGCAGGGGTGCACAGCCTTTGGGCTGGGATGCAAATCACTGCATCTTTTATGGCCAAAAATCCTCTGGCCGGGGAGGAGGTTCTCTGGAGCTCAGCAGGCTTTGCACAGCCATGGGGCTGCTGTGAGGTGTCCCTCAGATGAAGGTGGAGCTCTGCAGGCAAACCTGAAATTGCTGCTTTCAAGGCTTCTCCTCTCAGTAAATTGCCCCATGTGCTGCCCCAAGCCTCCATTGGGAATTCTCCATTGGGAATCCAGCTCAGAGCATCCCTCTCTCATCTGGAGCTCACTTTGCATGCAGCCCACAGCTCCTGCTGCCCCAAACACCTGTGGGAATCCAGGGCTTCCCTCTGGCTGCCCTGGCTGCCCTGGGACCCTGGCAGGGGTCAGGAACCCCCCTGGACAGAGCCCCCAGAGACACTGTCTGTGATCTCTGTCCATGGAAAAGAGTTTTCAATCTTACAGGATCAATTACAAGCTCTGAGTGTTTGATAAAAATAATAATTAAGTGTGGCACGGGTGCAAAAGTAAAATTTTAGGATTCTAGATGAGGGGTCCAAAGGGGACAAGATGGAGGAAATTGGGTGTGTCTTGTCCTTTTTCTCCTTCTTCATGCCCTCCATGTTTCACTGTGGTGTTGGCATTTTTCTGTTGGTTTTGGCTGGGGACACACTGTCCAACGTAGGTGACAGATATTGGCACGTTATTGTAAATCCAGCACAGGTAGTTTGTGGTATTTAATGTTTGTACCATCCCACTGAGGGCAGAGCCCCACACGCTGCCCTGCAGGACAGAGCTGTGGCAGGGCAGCAGAACATGTTAGAGATAAACAGAATAAACAACCTTGAAACCAGCACAGACCAATTATGGCTTCTGCTTTGGCAATGGGGCAGAAAGACAGAGACTTTCTACAATTTTGGAGTCATCAATAGCACAGATCCTGACACACACCCAGCTGCATCCCAGCCATGCCCAGCAGCTGGTCCCTGCTGCTCTCACTGCCGCTGCTTCTCCTCTGCCTCCCCCCTCCCCAGCTCTGCCCTGCAGATTGGATTTCCTGACTGTCCATGGCAGCTCCTGCAGGACAGGAGGAACAGCTGCTACGATGGATGGGAGGGGGGAAACCACACAAAAGGGGTTAAATCCTCTTTAAAAGGGGAGTGAGGAGCATGGCAGAGCTGAGCAGAAATCTGCTCCAGTTAAGGATGTCCCTGGTGGTGGCAGGGCAGCTGGAAATGGATATTGGGCAGGAATTCTTCCCTGGGAGGGCAGTGAGGCCCTGGCACAGCTGCCCAGAGAAGCTCAGGGGCACTCAAAGATGAACCCAGCCTAATCTGCTCAGTGCTGGGGTGACATTTGCACCTCCTGTGGGAAGGGTGGACAAGGGGAAATGGCCTCCTTTTGTCATAGCTCACATCCTCTTTGAAACGTTGTTCTCCTTAAAAGCAAAGGATATTGTCAATTTTCCCCCACAGATTTGTCACTCTTATCTTATCTAAGTCAGCTGGGGACTTCAGAATATTCCACTGCACATTCAAATCCATCCTCTTGTCCTGTTCAAGCTTTTCTTCAAGTTCTCAGCAGACACTAAAAAAAAAACAAAACAAAAAAAACCCCATAAAAATAAAGAGGGACATTCCTAAAATATTTGCTTTAAGCAGGAGCAGATTCTATCCTGGAGTCCTCAGAACTCCATCTGTACCCTCTGAGAACCACTCTGACCTCCCTGCCAGGAGTGGGACCCATTCCCCTTCTTTACATCCAGGCAAACAAACCCCCCAAAAGACAATGAACTGCTTCAGGCACTTTCTGAGCAGCAGATCTCCCGGGAAATGTGATCCTTCCTCCTTCCTTCCCCTGCATGGGGGTTGTGTGCTCAGAGCACGGGCAAAGCTCATCACACTGATGCTCCCCTGCATTTCCCAGGCAGATTTGAGCCCTCTGCAGAATAAATGCTCCCCAAGGCAGCACCGAGGCTTTCCCCATGCTTCTTTTACAGTGCTTTGGTCTGGGACACACTCACCAGGGAAGGCCTGAATGTTTCACCAGTCTCCAAGGTGAGAAATAAAAAAGGGGATTCCTTTGGATTTGCTTGAAGCTGTTTCAAGACAGAGTTTGAGCAGCGAGGAGATCCTGAGGAGTGCCCAGCTCCAGTGCAGCCCAGCACGAGGAGGGCTGGGATTTACTGGGGGTTTGGGGAAGATTTGGAGCTGAATGCCAACAGCAGAGCAGGTGAGGCAGAGCAGAGCATTGGGGGCACAGTCTGGGGTTCAGCAGAGTTTTCAGCCCCTCGGGGATGGATGCAGCTGCTCTCCATATCCTGCTCCTGCTTTCCTTCCTCCCTCACTGACTCAGCAGCAGCAGCAGCAGCCTTTCATCCCGGACAGAACAATCAGCATCCTTCCTCCCGGGCACCACATCCCGTTATTCCAGAATCATTCCCTCCCTGCACCCCCAGCACAGCCACAGCTTTCAGAATTAAAAGGTTTCCACTGCAGCCACTCAAGCAAAGCATCTTTGGGATGCAGCCTCGGGCTTTGCAGACTCAGCAAGGAGCTAAAATTGTCTCTGCTCGGAGCTGCCAAGACCCAGCTCCCTGTTCCCACCCCCCGCAATCACCTCGCCTGCCCTGGGATCACTCTGCTCCCAGCACTGTGTTTTTTGGAGGTGGATGTGAGGAAATCTGCTCAGGAAAACATCTGATCAGGAAAACAGGATGGTGCAGGAGGGATTGGGAGCCTTGCCAGCAGCAGGGGCTTGCAGGAGCTGGAAATCCTCTGCTGTTCTTCCTGGAACCCCACCTGGAGCATCCAGCCCTGGGGGGCACAGCACAGGTGGTGCCTCAGCTTTCAGCTTTTCTATTTTTCACATTCTGAGCTGCTTTAGTGTCTGGGTCTGGGCTTCATATTGTGGGATGGTGAGTTTTCTGCACAGAGCAGGGAGACAAAACAATTCCTTCTCTAGCTGGGCACCAAGGACAAATGATCCAAATCTCAGCCCAAGAGCACAAACAACGTGGGCTGGAGAGAGAAAAACAAGGATGGGACTTCATAACTTGAAGCTATAATTGAATTATTAACTCCAAAATGCAAAAGGAGCAGAAATGATAAAAGTGAGAAACCTTGAGTCCGTTTTTGGGACCATTTTGGTTCATTTGGGTGCAGCCCTGGCTGGGCTCTTGTGCAGCCCAAGGTGGATCCACGGAGGCCTTTGAATAAATCCCTGCTTTATTCTGTAACTCCTCTGGTTTCTGTTCTAGGGCAGCCTTCTCAAGGCAGCACAGAAGGACCTGGATGAGTCCAGAGAGGCCACGGAGCTGCTCCCAGGGCTGGAGCCCCTCTGCCCTGGAGCCAGGCTGGCAGAGCTGGGGGTGCTCCCCTGAAGAGGAGAAGCTCCAGGGAGAGCTCAGAGCCTTTCCAGGGCCTGAAGGGGCTCCAGGAGAGCTGGAGAGGGACTGGGGACAAGGGATGGAGGGACAGGACACAGGGAATGGCTCCCAGTGCCAGAGGGCAGGGCTGGATGGGAGATTGGAATTAGGAATTGTTCCCTGGGAGGGTGGGCAGCCCTGGCACAGGGTGTGTGTAACCTGCCTGCAGCTGGCACCCTGAGATTCTCTTTCCTCCTCCTCAGCTCCTGGATGTCTATAAATCCATTTCTGGCCCTGATAATGGACACTCAGGTGAGATCTTGTAAAGAGGGCAGGGTTAGATTCAATTTCAGAAAGGTTAAGTTAGACTTTAGGAAGGTTAGAATCGATTTTAGGAAGGTTAGATTCGATTTTAGGAAGAAATTCCTCCCTGTGAGCGTGCTGAGGCCCTGGCACAGAGTGCCCAGAGCAGCTGTGGCTGCCCCTGGATCCCTGGCAGTGCCCAGGGCCAGGCTGGACAGGGCTTGGAGAACCTGGGACAGTGGGAGGTGTCCCTGCCATGGCAGGGGTGGACCAGAGGCCTTCAAAGGTCCCCTCCAGCCAAACCCTTCTGTGCCCCCTGGCAGGGATGGAGCTTTCCCCTGCCATGCACAGCTCCCGCCTGCAGGATCAGCTGCAGGGAGCATTAAACAACTCCTGCAGCCCTGCAGGCCTCAGCACGAGCAGACATTTGTGTCCTGCTGGCCTGAGGAGAGCCCAGCACGGTGACAGGCTCAGCAAGCAGCAGGAGGATGAGGCAAGGACGTGTTTCAGCAGAGATCAAGCGATGCTTCCCGAGCTGAGCCTCTCTGAGCACGGCTGTGCCCCCGCTCCTGCGCAGCTCACCGAGAGACCTGCTGCGTTTTGGAGCCCCACAGGACTGGAAACAGGCACTTAATGAGAAACAGCTGCTCTTGTGCTGCTTCCCAACTTGTTACAGCAGCAGGAGCGTTTTCTGAGCGGGCAGGTTCTGTCTTCAGAGCAGTTCTGACTCAGAGCCCATCCCTGGGACAGCTTTTGGGTTGGAAGGACCTTAAAGCTCATCCCATCCCACCCCTGCCATGGCAGGGACACCTTCCATTGTCCCAAACTGCTCCCAGCCCTGTCCAGCCTGGCCTTGGGCACTGCCAGGGATCCAGGGGCAGCCACAGCTGCTCTGGGCACCCTGTGCCAGGGCCTCTCCACCCTCCCAGGGAGGAATTTCTTCCTAAAATCTAATATAACCTTCCTAAAATCGATTCTAACCTTCCTAAAGTCTAACTTAACCTTTCTGAAATCGAATCTAACCCTGCCTTCTTTACAAGATCTCACCTGAGTGTCCAATATCAGGGCCAGAAATGGATTTATAGAGACATCCAGGAGCTGAGGAGGAGGAAGGAGAATCTCAGGGTGCCAGCTGCAGGCAGGATGCACACACCTGGGTGTGGAAGAGGTTTTACAGCAACTTCTGTGGGCCAGAGAGAAGTTTGATAAGAGGATCCATGTTTGATAAGAAGATCCATGTTTACCCCTGAAAGAATTTCCTACCAAGGTCGTTGACACAGAAACCAAGAAAGAAAGAAGGAGAAATAAGAGAAATCTGCAGCTGCCTGTTCCAATGAGCACTTTGTTTGTCTCTCGTGACCAAAGAGTAAAGTGCAAACTTATGAGGTTTGTAAGAATGTATTAAAAGCATGCAGGTTGTAATAAAAGCAGGTTTGAAGCCTTCTGAAAATGTTGTGTGCTGCTTTGTGTTGTCTCCATCTCAACTCCCACACCTGGGCACAGGAGATCCTTCCAGAAAGATCCTGAGCCGGGGCTGAATGAATCAGCAAGGACAGAATCATCATCCTCCCCGAGAGCAGCCTCTGAGCCCTGAGTGCATCTGAACTGGGTAAAAATAGTGCCCCGATCAATTAAAGGAAAAAATTACAGGAACAGCCATTTCCAAGGTGTTCCACCCTCCCTGTGCTTCTCAAACCTCGTGCTGGGGACAGCGCTGGGTTTATTTATTTTCCACTGCCCCGTTTCTCCTTTGAGGTCCTGGTTTTTGGGAGCCCCATCCCCGGGTCAGGACTCTGCTCTCCCCATTCCCACCCCACTCCCTTCTCCCCCATTATCCCCCAGCAGCGCTAAACAGGACTGGGGAAACTTAAAATTCTTCTGCAGGAGACTTTTTTTTAGTTTTGACAACTTAGATTTGACTTCTTGTACTGCAGAAAGGGGAAAAAATAATCACAATGAAATTTTCCTACTGACATTGTGCAGCCAACATTTTTTATTTCTGTTTGGAATTAAATGTGTTCAGAGAAAATGACTTTTTCCACTGAACTTTTCCCATTTCAAAGACCAGATTTCTCCAATGTGGACAACCCAGGATTTCTGTGAAAAATCCAGGACAACTGAGACCCCCTCAGGATATTTTGGGAAGATAAATAGGGAGCTCTTAACTCCTTTTTCCTGCCTTTAAAAAAAGCAGGATGGGGGTGTGAAGCCAAGCAACCACATTTCTAAATGGGAACAAGGGCAGGGAACATAAATTTTCTGGAACATGTATATATATATAAAGAAAAATATTGCTTAGATCTTTAAAATCCATCAAGCCCGAAATTCCCTCATTTAGATGCTCCCCACATCGAAATGTGATGCCAAAGCTGCCTTCCCTACAGGGATAGAGCCAGTTTATCTGGAAATTCAGGCAACAAAGCTGGAATTCATCAGCCCAAGTGGAATAATTGATGTCCAAGGAGGTGGAAGTTGCTGGTAGACTTTTTTTTTTTTTTTTTTTTTTTTTTTTTTTTTTTTTGACAGGATTTAAATTCATCTCTGTCTGGTCACAACTAAAAACCATTCCCAGGAAGCAGGATGGGGAAGGAAAGGAGACTATGGAAATAAAGGCCCTGCTGCCAGACAGGCTGTGGGGCAGGCAGACCAGGCAGGAGAGATTTTCCAGCTTCTTTTTCCTTGGGAAAGCTGCCAAATCCAGGCCTAAGACTAACCCTGAGTGCCCTAAGCTGCAGATCTCTAACCTGACCTTAAAACCAGCCCAGTCCCGTGCTGTGTGTGGCAGAGGGATGCGATTAGAGGAGTTAATTCCAGCTGGGAATGCTCCTCTCCCTTTTCCTGCCCTTTCTCTGCGCTCTGACCTCACCCCAGGACCCTCAGGCGACAACAAAAGGGGACAGGGGTGATTAAACACAGCCCTAATCACCACCCAGGGCTCTGCAGGCTGGCTTAAAGCATAATTAGTGCTGTTCTTAATCAAAGCCTGCTCCAATCAACACTTCCAGCCTCGGGATTGACAATGGGGAAGTTCAGAGGGTGGGAGAAGCACCTGGGGGACTCTGGAGAAAGGGATCAGCGAGGGGCTCCTGCTGCTTCTCCTCCCAGGTGCCCACTGGGGAAATTCCTTTCTGCTTTTTTCTCTTTTCTCCTATATATTCCTCCTCCCCGCATCGGAAAAAGGAACTTTTCCTGCTGTAGCTGGTGTTATATATAACATATAATATATAATATATATAATATATAATATATAATATATAATATATAATATATAATGTACAATATATAATATATAATATATAATATATAAAATATAATATATTATATAATATATAATATATAATATAGTATATATTATATATTATATATTATATATTATATAATATATTATATTATATATATTATATATTATATATTATATATTATATATTATTCTATATTATATAATCTAGAATATATGTAATATATATTATCTAAGTATATAAATAGCTCACAGCCAGCAGCAGCCCAAGGTTTCTCTGTTACAGAGCATTTTTAAAAACTTTCTAGCCAATAGCACATTGCTAAAGGTAATAATTAAAAAATAAAGGAGTAAATAATAAAGGTAATTGTTCTAGCCAACCACTAAAAGCACACGTACACAATGCTTGCTTGACTTCTTTCTATTAACAACACACAATACTCCATTGTTAAGCTTAAAACTTCTACTACTTTGCTAAGCATATTTTTCTGCAGTCTTAAGGTCTGTCTTGGCCAAACCTAAAACTCAAGCTATTGTTTCATGTCCTTGCTTGCTGTACTATTGTAACTTTTCTACTTTCAGATTTGCAGCAGGAGCTAGATCTAAGTTTTCTGGGTTTTTTTTGGGTTTTTTTTGTTTTGTTTTTTTTTTTTTTAATATATTTTTTTGTATTTTAATTTTTTTTTTTCCTTTCTGTTTCTGAGGCCTGCTTTCACACCTTCCTAAAAGTCTTCTTACCTTTACTACTCCACATAGAATGTGAGCTGCTGCTTTCCCATTTTGGGAAACAATTCCTCTCCAGGCCTGGCAATCAAGGACACCTCACTGCGAGAGATGTGAACAAAAGGGACTTGGGGGGAGCAAACCTGGGGTCAGTGACGTCATTACCTGAAGCTGGAATTGGAAGATTCACCCTCAATATGCAAATGGACCAAACTTATAAAAGTGTGAAAACCTGTGACCATTTTTGGATGTAGCCCCTGTCCCATCTGCTATCAGTCAATTTGGAAGTCCCCTCCACAGCCTCAGGTCAAATGCAGTGTTCTCTTGCTGGTCTGTGCCTTTCAGCACAGAAAGTTTAAAATTCTCAGCCTGCAGGATTCCAACACCCCTGGATGGGCTCCATCTGCCCTAAATGTACCTGAGGGCCCTTCAATAAATACACCCGGTTTTATTCCCTGTTGGAATCTGAGGTATTGATGATCCCGAGATTGTAGAAAGTCTCTGTCTTTCTGCCCCGCTGCCAAAGCAGAAGCCATAATTCATCTGTGCTGTTTCAAGGTTGTTTATTCTGTTTAACATGTTCTGCTGCCCTGCCGCAGCTCTGTCCTGCAGGGCAGCGTGTGGGGCTCTGCCCTCAGTGGGATGGTACAAACATTAAATACCACAAACTACCTGTGCTGGATTTACAATAACGTGCCAATATCTGTCACCTACGTTGAACAGTGTGTCCCCAGCCTGAACCAACAGAAAAATGCCAACACCACAGTGAAACATGGAGGGCACGAAGAAGGAGAAAAAGGACAAGGCACACCCAATTTCCTCCATCTTGTCCCCTTTGAACCCCTAATCTAGAATCCTAAAATTTTGCTTTTGCACCTGTGCCACACTTAATTATTACTGATATCAAACACTCAGAGCTTGTAATTGATCCTGTAAGATTGAAAACTCTTTTCCATGGACAGAGATCACAGACAGTGTCTCTGGGGCTCTGTCCAGGGGGGTTCTGACCCCTGCCATGGTCCCAGACCTGCCAGGGCAGCCAGAGGGAAGCCCTGGATTCCCACAATTCCCTTAATTTCTCCTGATTTCTGTTTTTCGCTAATCCCAAAAAGACATGAGGAAAAGGCAGAAAAGCACCCTGGAAGCGCGGCAGTGCCGCTCCTGCCCGGTACCGAGGCGGGCTGGGGGAGCATCCCTCAAAACCCACCGCTGGCCCAAAGGCCGCGCCGCCTCCACACCCCCCGAGCCCCCCGGGGCAGCCGCGCTCCGCCAGCCCGGCACGGAATCACTGACCTATTTTCATCCAGGCAGGCGCAAGATCACAGCCAAAGGGAGCTTGAGCTCGGGTGGTTAAAGGAAAAGTCGCTCGGAGTGGTCTGAGCACCCACAGAGAGCACAGAGGCTCTTGTGGGGTTTGTTTTCTCATCCTCAGTAGGGGATGCGGGAAGGGGATGGAGCAGCTGGGTGAAAACCGACCAAAAAGATCCCTTTGGTGCAAAATCGGGGTTTGAGGAAAGGAATAAAAGAGTTTGGAATAAAGTGGGTGTAGGATAAGCACAAGGACAAGCAGGATGTGGAAGGAGCAGATTTGGGAATGGTCCCACAGGGATTCCTCCCCCTCCCCGCCTGGATGGATGAGCTGCCTGAGCAGACTCAGCTGCTCACACCGGAGACAAGCCAGCTCCCCAAGGGGCTTTTTGTTCAAGTTTGCTGGTGGACTTGGCCCAAATTTGGAAGTGTTTAATCCCCACCTTGGGCAGGTTTCGGAGCTGGTGGCTCCGGTGATGGAAGTTTGTTGGATGCGGCGACAGCAGCGATTATCTCTGTGCCCACTCCCGTGAAGCTGAGGGCACAGCACTTCGGTTCTCAGCCATGAGGCGCCACAAAAAACCCTCCCCAAACCCTGAACTGCACTCCTGAGCCTGGAAACCACACAGACAACCCCGGGAGGCCTTTGGAAGCTCACAGACCCCTCGTGGAAGGGAGATGTGCTGTGCTCATCACAGGGCACAGAGAGGCAGGGGCCAGGAGGGGACCACAGCCCCGAGCCCATCCCTGAGCATCCTTGGCTGGCTGGATGGGTGAAACTGGAGCAGTTTGGACCCCTGGGCTGCCTCATATCCCGGGCTGGGGGGTGCCTGCTCCCCCTCAGCGCTGCTCAGCACGGAGGAGGCAGCGATGAGTAACAAAAAAAGGCTCCCACAAATCGGGATGATGACAACAATTGCTCCATAAAGGCTGGCAGCTCTCCTGGGACTCTCCACACAGCTGGGAAAGGTGCTGCTGCCAGGGTTTGTTGGTCATGGAGCTGGGGCAACCCCCTCCCCCTCCCGAACGTGTGCGGGCAGGAAGGAAAGAGAGAACAAGGACAGATCTCGGTGTCCTGAACAATGAGAACAGGAAAGTCCCTCTGGGCTGGGGAGCCTGGCAAGGGCTGAAAGCTGAGCTGCATCCTGAGCTCATCCTGAGCTCCATCCGGAACTCCATCCCGAGCTCATCCTGAGCTCATCCTGAACTCCATCCCGAGCTCCATCCTGAGCTCATCCTGAGCTCCATCCTGAGCTCATCCCGAACTCATCGTGAGATCCATCCTGAGCTCATCCTGAGTTCATCCTGAGCACATCCTGAGCTCCATCCGGAACTCCATCCTGACTGAGCTCATCCCGAGCTCATCCCGAGCTCATCCTAAGCTCCATCCCGAGCTCCATCCTGAGCTCCATCCCGAGCTCATCCTGAGCTCATCCTGAGCACATCCTGAGCTCCATCCCGAGCTCCATCCCGAGCTCATCCTGAGCACATCCTGAGCTCCATCCCGAGCTCATCCTGAGCACATCCTGAGCTCCATCCCGAGCTCATCCTGAACTCATCCTAAGCTCCATCTCGAGCTCCATCCTGAGCTCCATCCCGAGCTCATCCTGAGCTCCATCCGGAACTCCATCCCGAGCTCCATCCCGAGCTCCATCCTGAGCTCATCCTGAGCACATCCCGAGCTCCATCCCGAGCTCTATCCCAAGCACATCCCGAGCTCCATCCCGAGCTTATCCCGCTTCCAGGCAGCCTGGGGGGATCTGCTCAGCCTCCTGTGGGGACAGGGGTCACAAAAAGCATCCCAGCTGCATCCCTGGGGCAGGGAGGGAGGGAGGGAGGGGGCAGCACCCAGCCCTGGGGGCTGCCAGGGGGGCTCCAAGCAGCATTCCAGCTGGAATTCCACCTCCCCCCTCGCCAGCCCTGCCCTCCGCTGGTACCCAGGGGGGTGCAGGCTCCCCTGCAGCCCCTCTCCCTGCACCCCCCTGGGTACCAGCCCCTCTCCAGCCCCACATCCCGCCCTGGCACCCCAAAAACCGCAGCCAAGCTCTGCCTCAGCACATCCCGCATCCCCCCCCAGCGCATCCTCCCTCCCCCCCGTGCTGACCTTTTTATTTTCTGCGTCAGGAGCATAAAATGGAGCCTGCAGGGAAGGGAGAATGTCCCTAAGATGGCTGAGGAGAGCAGGATTTGCTGGGCAGTGCAGGAGCTCCCTCTGCTGCTGCATGGGCCTGGGGGGGGGAAGGAGCTCCCCAGCCCTGCTCCAGCCCCACGGGCCCCAGGCAGCAAAAAAACCCCAAATTTTCCTAACGGGGCGATTAAAATTCTCGTGATAGTCAAAATATTTGATTAAAAAGCATCAACATCCTTCTGACCTCCTGAGTTCTCCTGCTTGCCTCTCCCTGCCATGTATTTTGCACTTATATTTTCATTGCTGTGTTACGGTCAAAATCCTTAAAAAAACCCCGGTATTTTGTATTAATACCAAAATATTTCACACACACAGCTTCTAAAAATTATTGTCAGCGCCACACAAAATTATAGAATTTTCCAGGTTTGAAAAAACCCATTAAATTTAATTTATTTGAAGTTCCACATTAGGACAAATACCCAAAACTCGGTGTTTTCTCTCATGGGATGGCAAAAAGGGTTAAAGATGAATACGAGGGGAGGACCAGCACTCACCTGAAATGGGGTGAGCAGCTGTGGTCCCCAGGAAAGGTTTGGGGATGAAAGGGTACATGGAAAACCCTGCAAGCTGCCCCCTGAATATCCAACCCTTAAGCCAGGACTGTGTCAGTGTAGGGTCAAATCCTGCTGGATCTGAGGCTGAAATTATTTTTGCTTAAAAATTTTCAGCATCTTTGTCACCCCCTGAGCTCCCCTGGTTGCCTCTCCCTCCCCTTTTACCCTTCTATTTTCCTTGCTGTGTTGCATTTAAAATCCTCAGGAAAATAAGAGTATTTTGTATTAAATCCAGCGTTTGTCACACCCACAGCTCCTAAAAATTATTGCCAGTGCCCCACACAATTATATAATTTCCCAGGTTTGAAAAAAAAGGTTAAATTTCATTTATTTGAAGTTCTACATTAGGATGAGCTCCCAAAACTTTGTGTTTCCTCTTGTGGGATGGGAGGAAGGGCTGAAGGTGGGTATGAGGGGAGAATCAGCTCCCACCAGAAATGGGGTGACCCCATTTAGAGCCAAATCCTGCTGGATCTGAGGCTAAAATTATGTTTGCTTAAATATGTTCAGCAGCCTTGTCACCCCCTGAGCTCCCCTGGTTGCCTCTCCCTCCCCTTTTACCTTTTCCTTGCTGTGTTACATTCAAAATATCCAGGAAAAGGAGAGTATTTTGTATTAAAATCAGCATATTTCACAAACACAACTCCTAAAAAGTATTGCCAGTGCCCCACACAATGATTTAATTTTCCAAGTTTGAAAAAAACCCATTAAATTTCATTTATTTGAAGTTCCACATTAGGATGAGCACCCAAAACTTGGTGTTTCCTCCTGTGGGATGGGAGGAAGGGTTGAAGGTGGATATGAGGGGAGAATCAGATCCCACTATTTAGAGCCAAATCCTGTTGGATCTGAGGCTAAAATTCTTTTTGCTTAAAAGTTTTCAGCAGCCTTGTCACCCCCTCTCCCTCTCCTTTTACACTTCTGTTTTCTTTCTATGTTAACACATAACATATAAAATCCTCAGCAAAATAACAGCAATTTGTATTAAAACCAACCTATGTCACACACACCACCCTTAAAAATTCATGCCACTGCCCTACATAGTGATAGAATTTTCCACGTGTGAGAAATTTCATTAAATTTAATTTATTTCTAGTTCCATGTTAGGATGAGCACCCAAAACTTGGTGTTTTCTCTCGTGGGATGGCAAAAAGGGTTAAAGATGGATACGAGGAGAGGACCAACTCCCACCTGGAATGGGGTGAGCAGCTGTGGTCCCCAGGAAAGGTTTGGGGATGAAAGGGAACATGGAAAACCCTGCAAGCTGCTCCCTGAGAATTTCAAGGCAGGAGTGTGCCAGGGTAGAGCCAAATCCTGCTGGATCTGAGGCTGAAATTTCCAAGGAAATCTTGCAAAAATTGTTTCCAAGATGAGTTCAAAAAGGGCCAAAAGGCATCGCTCAGGAAGGAGGTGAAAAGCACGAAAAAAATCCCAGATCCAAAATTGTTTGGTTTTTTTTGGTTTTTTTGGTAAGAATTTAAACACTGAGGGGACGAGGAAGAAAAGCAAGGAGTTTTAAAAAATTGAGGAGACAGATGGAGGTGCTGGGAGGTGAAATGCAGCACTGAAGGCTGGAATTCAGACAGGAATGGGATGCCCAGCACCAACCTGACCCCTGGGTGTGGGGCAGCAGCTCTCAACCCCGCAGAGCTGCACAGGGAAAGGCCTTATATAACTTCTACATTTATATAACTGCAAGAATTCCTCCAGGGGCCTTTCCTGCGAGGGAGCAGAGCTTTTTGTGGGAGCAGGGTGAGCTGACCCAGAGCTGGAGTTCTGGGGTGATGCCTGGCAGTGAATGGAGGGGAGGATACCCAGGATGGGACACCCAGGGAGGCTTGGTTTTATTACTGCCATTAATAGATATACATAATATGCATTTTAATATATATAATATAAAATATATTCTATATAATTAATGTATATATTTTAAAATATATTAAAAAATAATAGGGGCATGTCCCCCTGCACGGCAGGGGACAGGCGAGGGTGGCAGTGGGGCAGCTTGGCAGGAGCTTGGCAGGGCAGTGGCACTCGAGGAGAGGGATTTTTTGCAGTGTTGCTGCATAAAAAGGGGCATCAAGAGAAGGGGTGCCAGGACAGCTCATCCCATGAGCAATGGGGGACTGAAAAACTTGCCAAAGCTGCTCTGGGGCTCCAAAGGCGGCTGAATTCCCAACACACTCCCGGGACTCAGCCTGGCAGGGCTGGGAACGCACAAGTGACACATCAGGGTGGCCCCAGGCTGGGCAGGACACGGGAACAGTGTGGGAAGGCAGGATTTGGGATGGCAGGATTTGGGATGGCATTTGGGATTTTGGCACTGCCGGGCCCAGAGCCCCCGGTGCGGGGGGCACTGGAGAGATGGGAGAGCCCCACAACAGAGGCAATGCACAATCCCTGATTTCTGCTCCGTTTCACGGCACAAAACCCCGCAAATCTCCGCTCCTGCTCCCCAAATGTTCCGTACAAAGCGCCCCAAAAGCCGCGATGCTGCCTCGGTGTGACCCCTCCTTCCCCCGGCAGCAGATGGAGACCCACTCCCAATTATGTCCCCGTCACAGGGGGAAGAAAGAAAGACAAATGTCGCCAGGAAAGCTCTTTGGGAGGACAAAAGCTCCTTGAAATAGGAGCTGAGCTGTTTTTTCCCGTTTCGGAGCGGGGGAAGGAGGGAGGGGGGAAGGAGAGGGGGGGATGGAGGGGCGGGATGCGCACGCAGGCGGCACTTCCCGTCTTTGTCTGGGAAAGGAGGTCACGGGGGGGGTCGGGGGGACGCGGGGGGGATTCGGGGAGGATTCGGGGGAGGATTCGGGGGAGGATTCGGGGGAGGATCCAGGGGAGGTCAGGGCCGCGTCAGGGCCGCGTCAGGGCCCGGCTGATCGCGGCTCCCAATCGCGGCGCGCTGAGCTCACCGCGGGCGCGGCGCCAGCGCGGCTCAACTGCGCTCCCCTGGCGGATGAAAGCGGTACTGCAGGGACACGGCCGCGGCGTGGGGGGCTCCCGCGAACCCCCCGACCCCACGGCCGCGGCCCCCACGGCACCCGCAAAAACACGCGAACCCCCCGCACAACTCCTTCCTCTAGCTCGGGGTTCAGCCAGGGGCTTCCCAAAGTTTGAATTGCCAAAAAAATTCGCTCCTCAGTGGGGATGGCACAATGCAAGCGCTCTGGGGGGCTGCGGTGGGTGCTGCAGCCCCCCAGTGACTCCCAGTGCCCCCCAGTGCCTCCCAGTGTTCCCCCCAGTGACTCTCAGTGCCCCCCAGTGCCCCCCAGTGCTTCCCAGTGTTCCCCCCAGTGCTCCCCAGTGCTTCCCAGTGTTCCCCCCAGTGCCCCCCAGTGCCCCCCAGTGCTTCCCAGTGACCCCCAGTGACCCCCAGTGCCCCCCAGTGCTTCCCAGTGTTCTCCCCAATGCCTCCCAGTGTTCCCCCCAGTGCCTTCCAGTGTTCCCCCCAGTGCCTTCCAGTGCCCCCCAGTGCTTCCCAGTGCCCCCCAATGCCTCCCAGTGCCTCCCAGTTGTGAAAAACACCAATCACTTGGTTTTTAAAGTTTTAGAAGTTTAATAATAATAAAATGGTTATTAGAAGTTTAATAATAATAAAATGGTTATAAAAATAATAATACAATTAGAGTAATAAATTTTTAGAGTTAGGGAAATTACAAGACAATAAAAAGCAAAGAATTACGGACGTCTGGATGCTCTTGGACACTAAGTCACGAAAAGCATCCCTTGTGAGCAAAGGAATCACCCTTAAACCAATACACTTGTTGCATATTCATACATCCTTTATGGTTATGCATACATTATATTCTAAACAAGAAACTTTGTCTGTTGTGTGTCAACTGTTTGCTTTAATCTCCTGGTGTCTTCGAGTCTGAGCAAGGCCTGAAGAAATTAACTTCTTCTGATAAGAAGCCATAAATTCCTCTCCTTTGGAAGATTTGGGTGTTCCTCGAAGTGAGTATCTCATTCCTAAAAATGGTGCTGAAATGGCAGGAAAAGAGCTGCTGGCCCTAAAACAGCAGGAAAAGTCAGCCCAAGACAAGCAGGCAACACCTGGTGTGAGGTGTAAACAACTTCTAAAAACCTCAGCTGTGCTTCAGAAAGTTTGTTAGGTGTTAACTTCTGCTAAAAATCCCAGCTGTGCTACAGAAAGTTTGTGAGGTGTAAACAACTTCTAAAACCTCAGCTGTGCTACAGAAAGTTTGTGAGGTGGCAAGTGCCGCTGTTGAGATGGACACACGACACACACACTCATGCAGTGACAACAGTGGCTTCTTTTTATTGTAAGTTGTTCTAAAGTTTTATTCTTTCAATGACTTAATCTCACAAAGTGTGATTTTAAGTCATTTGTTACATCAAAAGAGCTCATTATATTCATTGGACAGAGCAATAGTTTATTGTATTTTATTGGTATAAAGTAATTAATGTCAATAATTAATTGGG